TATATATATTGAGTGCTGACCATGTTCCAAGAACACAGAGGCACTGAGTACAGGGTGCCAACAAAACATGTCAATAAAATACAATGATGATGAAAGACAATATGCAAATAAAAATATTATATGAACTGTCATATGACACCATGTCTTTCCCATCCATAACCACGCTGATTACACTCAAGCTGTTCATCTCATATTACCTTTCCCTTAAAGAATGTAGAAATGGTGAATAGAAGTTGCAGTTGGTAAGCTCCTCACGGATCAATAAACATGGGGCTCCATTTTGCTGTGGCCATTTTGTGCCCTGCATATTTCATTTATTTAAAGTAAAAAAAATCATTGATGAGAGAGAGAAAGAGATAGAAATAAAGTGGAAATTAGGAGAAAAAAGATCTAATCAGCTTAGAAGGTCCTTGAGAGATAGAAAAGTTTCCCTGGTTTGGCAAAATTCCAACTGCTGTTATATCCCCTTGATACCCTTAAAATATAATTTAAAAATACCTTTATTCCAAAGGCAGATAGAGTGAAATCTTTAAGGTAAAGCACTTTGTAGATAAAATATACCAAAAGAAAAATGAGCAAAGTGAATANCTTTATCGTATTTGAAAGTCATGAATAGTGCATTCTTGTCTGATCAAGATTTGGTTTCCTCTCTAGAATGAGACAGCAAAGGCAGGCTTATAAATCATTTTGTGTCTTTCATATATTCTGGTTTCTCTACAAGAGTCTCAAGTGGTATAAATACCAAGGGGGTTAAAAATACTTTGGGTCATTGTAAAGGTTTGTTGGTGCATGAAAAGAATACCTGCAATGACATGGTTATTTTTATGCACATGTAATTTTTGAAACAATTTTGTTAAAATAGAGGAATTTGTAATTTAGTTTTAAATGTTTAAGTCATAATTTTTTAAGGAGGTGTGAGCTATAAACTATTAAAATCTGTACCTTGGGATAAAAGATAAAGTACAATGGTAATAATTTAATGATATCAACATGGGCAACCAATTCACAATGAAATTGTCAAGGCATATACATGAAAAGATTACATAAAAAGCTTTTACGTTGCAGGGGGGAAACAGTATCCAATTTATAGTTTCTTCTTATATAAGGATATCTGGATTCAAATGCACTTACAGAAGATAAAAGTGATCTTTACTTTCTTTAATTTTTAATTGAAACTTAGTTGATGTACAATATTATGTACTGATTATGATGTTCAGATGTACCGCATAGTAATATGACCATGGTACACATTACTAAATGCTCACCACTGTAAGGTTAGATATCATCTCTTGCCATAGTCATTGCATTAGTGACTCTTTCCTCTGCTGTACTTCCATCCCTGTGACTTACTTACAGCTGTAAGTTTGTACCTCATTATTCTTTTCACTCATTTTGCATGTCCACCCAACCTCCCCTGTGGGAACCAAAAGTCCATTTACTACATTTATCAGTCTATTTAATTTATTCACTTGTTTTTGTTTTAAATTCCACATACAAGTGAAATCATACAGTATTTTTCTTTTTCTTTCTCTATCACTTAGCATAATACCCTCTGGTAAAGAATTCCTTCCCAATAATGGCCAAAGAGGTTGCAACTTTTAGAAATACATTTAATCATGAAATGCCAGTAGAAACAATAGGTAGAAACAGAGATGAAATAAAAAGTTGGAACTATGTATAAAGGGTGATTTATTACAACTCAGCATTCAGGAGAAACAGTCACTACCCATTTTACTAAAGCAAGGATTTGCAATTGGAGTATTAAAGTGACCATTCATTCCTTTAGTAGCAAAAATAAAAAATAAAACAAACATTAGACAAATACTGTATGACTGAGTGATAGACTTGACCACACAAAATTTATGAAGTCTCATGCAATCCCACAAATGTATCTATATATACATAGAAGAAATTAATGCTAAACTGTTATTTTCCAAAGTAAAAAAAAACAATAATTCTTTTAAAAAATGTGATCAGAGAGACAAAGGAATAAAAACACCTTAATCCAAGCAAAGTTCCTCATAGACAACTTTGACAGAGAAAGTCAATAAAAAATGAATTTGTACTTATATGCATATGTATAATACTTATAAATATATAGGCATATATACATAGGTGCATAAGCATATATATAAATGATTATATATGTATATACATATATGTATACACACCCATATATATAGCCACACAGGTAATGAAATAATTGCAAGACCTATTAGCATTCCCTTTTGCAAAGATTAACTAATTTTTTAATGAGCAGCCCTGAGTAGAGTGTGGAAGTGCACTGTGACATGTCTGTCGCACTCCTGCTCATGCAAGGATGTAATTGCCAGCATTCTTTGCTCTGTATATTTTCCAATAAAGAAGCTGTCAAATATGCCCCATCTTAAAAATAAAAATAAATGCACTCACTTCACCATATATCATTCCAAAGAGAATTCCCTATTTCTTCTGGTTAAAGAATAAGAATTTAGAGGTATGTCATACTTTCACTGGAAGAGCATCATGCCTCTCGTTATTGGATTTCCATTAATACCATTTAACTAGCAAGTCTGACCTTGTATTAATGGTAACAAAATTTTCTTCCCTATTTAGCATCATAAGTAAATATACAGACATATGGATCAAGTCAGCAAACAACCATAGTGATATCTGGTATCTGAGTTAGGCAGGATTGGCTCTAATGTGACCTCAAATAAAAGTTCTCAGCTCCATTCTCTCTGACCCTTTTCCTGTAGTATATACTGGACTCTCAGACTCACCTGGATAAGAACTCTTGAGAGGAAGGTGTCTGCGAGGAAGTCCACATTCCTGGATGGTTGGTTAAGGAGACTGGAGCTCAGTCCCCAACAGAAAGCCAGCAGGAGTAAGCATTGGCTTTCAAGCCAGACTTAGGCATCCAAGGAAATAAACACAAGCTATTGAATTCAGGGTTGCACACCTGAGGGACTTCATCAGGGGAGATGTTTGTAGCTGATTATATTTCCTCATTAGGTGGTTTTCTGTTGTCACTCCCAACTTAAGTGCATGATTCCCTTGTGGGTCATGGATCTGGACAGAAAAGAAAGTTTTCCTGCTGTTCCACAGAGACCACATTGTAATCCACCAGAATTCAACTTTTCTTACTCCTTCTCTATGAACTCTTCGGTCTCCAGTGCTCATATCCTCCAGTACCTTATTTCCAAGCCTGAGTTAAGGTTTTCTCAAAGTCAAAGACCGAGGATTCCATCTGGGACTAGGTCCTTTGGATCTTCTGAGCCCTGACAATGGTGGGCACACAGCCCCTGACAGCTCCAGGGAATTATTATTCCCTCTTCAAAAGAGGGACACTTTGTTAGCTTAATATACAACATTGAGCACTACCCTCCTTGGTTTCCTGACACTTTTGCCAAAAAAATTAGGAGTTTCATAGTTCTATTACAAGTTAAGAGCTGTCTTTCAGTCCATCATAATGAAATGTTAATGGTTCTAACGGTAATATTTAGATATTTCTATGTACTATAGCCTATCTATAGGGATGGACTGATTTAACCTTTACAAAATTCCCATGCATGAGGTGTTATGAGTATGTACCCCATTCTACATACAGGAACAGGGCTCAGAGGGATTTCATTTTGTGTTCACTTTTACACCCAGTAACAGGTAGAGACACTATTGGAATCTGTCTGAATGTTTCCAGTTCTTGAAGTCTGGGACAGTGGTTCTCAAGCACACATGATTTTTCCCACTGAGGATATTTGGCCATGGCTGCAGGGATGCTGCATTTCTCCTGAAATTTGACAATAGCATTCCTGATTACTGTGTCATTAAAGTTTATTTCATGTAATTGTATTCATAAGTGACTTCCTGAGGTTCTCTTGTAGATAACTAGGTGTTGTTGGAAGGAAGGATGTGCACTTTTTTTTCAAAAGTTGTGAGTGAATCACATGACTGGGCAGGAATTCAGGCTCTCTAGGGAGTCATCCATTTTTCATGAATAAAGGTCTATCTATATCCATGTCAAGGACATATAAAATAGGTAACACTGAATTGTTCATCCACTGGCTCTTCTGGGTTATGTTAAAGTGTGGAATAAGAAGAGGTATTACACTTAGAGCAATGGAAGCAGCCATATTTGTCAGGAGAATTGTATGTTTTCAAGAAAAAGCAATAAGATAATGAGACAAAAGCATGATTATGCCAAACAATCCTTCACACCAATTACAAAGCCCCTCACACACAGAAAACAACCTTACACACATCGATACATAAATGGCCACACAGTTTGCATAGTAATAAATGTGTGACTAAAATTTTACTTACTCATAATTAAGGTAATCTCTGACCCTAATCATGTTGTACTAACCATAGAATGTCAGACTCTTACTGATATGTGTGTTTCCATGTAGACAACAATTGGAGACATGTATTTGATTATCAGATCTGCCAGTGACTAAGGTGGGCTGTGGACACCAAGTTGAATAAGAGAATAGAGTCCCAGTAAGGGGGAAAAAATCCAATAAGCTATCATAAAACACACTATATATTAAAGTCTGTATATTTACAAAGAGTATTTAAGGTAGTGACATATAATGGATTTAAAAGTCATACACTGTATCTCATATTTTCCTCTCCCAAGAAATTATATAAAATGGTTGCAAAGTATAGACATAGGAGTGTTACAACTCAAGAGTATTCTTTTAGTAAAATAGAAAAAATTAGTATAACATATTTCACCCCGGAAGAAACTCTTCTCAAAATTCATCCACTCTCATGAGATAAATGGGAATATTCTAATATTTTATAAGTTGGAAACACATTTGAGAAAATAGGAAAATGACAAATGAAAGGTATTAGATTATCAGAGACAGCAGATAGGGTAATACAGTAGGTTACTTAAATAGTACATAAAAGTTGAAATCAAAGAAACTAAAATTTCAGGAAATAAATATGAGGAGCAATTTACTTCACAATTTGATAAAACAATCATAATTTCTGCCTCTCAGAGTTGAGTCTTGCTATCAGATGCATTTCTTCAGTCCCAGAACAATTAGCCCTTTTATAGTTTCCTTCCCAAAGAGTCTTTTCAAAGTCCTCTTTATGTCCTTGTTTCTCAGACTGTACATGAAGGGGTTCAGCATGGGTGTGACCACAGTGTACATCACTGAGGCTGTTGCACTTGAGTGTGAGCTCTGGGTAGCAGCAGAGCTAAGGTACACACCTAGGCTTGTACAATAAAATAAGGAAACAACAGAGAGGTGAGATGCACAGGTGGAAAATGCCTTATACTTCCCCTGAGCTGATGAGATTCCACAAATGGAGGAAATTATCTTCAAGTAAGAGTAAAGAATCCCAGCAAGAGGACAACCACCAAGGAGCCCAGCTCCAAAGTACATCACCATGTAATTAAGGAAGGTGTCAGAGCAGGCAAGCCGGACCA